TCCTACCCAGACCCCCAAACATCCGCCCAACAATCCAAAGGCTCAGGATGCCGATTTTCCAACTTCAAATCACAGAACCCCACAACTCTCATGCTCCGTGTTCTGGGTTCGTACACTGCACACTAGTTGGAGCTGATATTGGGATGATAGTGGCAGTGAAAGGTCATGATTGGGGCAGAATTCCCAGGGACCATTCCCAGCCTGGCAGAGACTTGGATTCTATCAACCAAAAGAGACTGTGGGGTCTCAAAACTTTTCAAGACGGGAAACTGGGAAGAGCTAAACATGTCGCCCAATTCAGAACACCTAGTCACACCAACACCACCAAACACAGCCACATCTCTGAGAAAGACAAAGCCAGTGAGGGAAGAAATTCCTCAAAACGCACAGAGTTACAGCCACTTGGCTGTGACATTCCTGAATTCTATTGCCGTTCATTCCTTTGGCATAGCTTTGACATGATGGTCCACACAAATCACCGAGGGTATTTCTTAGCTTCCTCGACTGTAAATCTTAAGGGGAGAGAAGGGAGCATGGATATCCCAGGCACTTCAGCTTGCCACTAAGGAGGGAGTCATGAAATTCGGTTTTGTCCAGGAATACTTGTCCCACATCCAAGCTATGCACAGAAGGCACATAAATTCCCACGCCCACAGAATCTGGAAGCAGCAGAATAGAACTCACTATGGCCCATCACAGAGATCTGTCCTTCTCTGACCTTTTGTGTGTCTTCATCAGGGCTGAGGATCGGCACACACAGTGACACTTCCAAGAATAACACTTTTTTTCCACCCTGGAAATTCACCAACAACGAAAGGACCCCAGCTGTTAACTTTGCAAGTCTCATTCTCTCTCTTGGGTCCCGACTCCTGGTCCATCCAAATCACTAGAGATTTCCCAGCCTGCCTTGAAATGAACATGGCACCCAGCTGTGACTACTCCCACTGGGGGTGCCTGAGGGCAGTCTGGTGTGGGACCCTTCGCAGGACCATCAGCGACCCCTGCAAAGAAACAGGGCTGAGGGGCAGTCATGGCTTCCCATGGACCAGTCCTAGAGTAACATCCGGTTTCAGCTGCTTCCTGGAGAATTCAGGAAACTTTCCTGTCTGTGCCAGTGCATCTATCCATAAATGGATGGAGATATTCGTAGGGCATCCAGATCATAGGTGAAGGTGAGGGCTACTGACCACTGATCAGTAACCAAGGGGACATCTATTAGTGATTCTATTAGACACCACTGAGTTGGCTTATCCTCCATCTGAAGATCTGACAACTGGTATCTCTTGAACCCAGAGAGGTGGGGCAGAGGCACAAAACAGTTAACAGGGTGAGTAAGCTCTGGGTCTTGTCACCCAAGAATGCTTGTATAGTGTTCATGTGCGCGCGTGCACGCACACACACACACACACACACACACACACACACACACCCCTTTCAGTTGGAAGCAGAATGAAAGGAAAGTCTGAACAGAAATGCCCAAGTTCCAAATTAATTGTTACATGTTCCTCCCCGGTGAGCAGCCCCCAACTCTCAGAGACTGGTTTTGGGGTCACGCAACTCTTTAGATAGTAATTCCAGCAAGACGAAGACAATCACGGCTCTATATGGTGGCACCCAAAATAAATATGACAAGAGACATGGACGTGTGCCCCTGGTAACATTGTGAGTTTTCTAGTAGCTGCATTTGAAAAGTGGCAAGGAGCCCAGGGCATGCTGGGGTCTGAGGCTCACACCATGGAACAATGTGGGTCCCTGGGCACTGCCGGGAAACAACTGGTCAGCCCCAAGCTAGGAGCCCCTGAGCACAGTTAGGTGTGGCCCAAAATCCCTCAGAAAGAAGATAAAAACAAAGCAGGAGTTATTTGTTTTTCATTGACCCAATCTACTAAAAACAGTCTTGTTCCAGTGTAGCAGCAAGATCAGCTAACTGCTCTGGTGCCAGAGATGGTCAGGTACCAATTAACGCCTTTTTTTGGGGTCAGAGTTTCGGTCCTGAAATCCACTAAGACCACCAAATGCAGATTTTCAGCCTCCTGTTGATCTCTCCCTTCACTGAAAGAGAGGGAAGGGGCCTCTGGTCAAACTCTGAAGTCAGAGGGTCCCGGTGCCCCAGACTGGGAGTGTGTGGCTCTCCAGGAGGCAAGGGTTCCCACTTTGCTATTTAGAACATGGGTGCCCTCGATCCTTGTAATACTGTGGGAGGAAAAGGCCTGGAAGACTTCAAGGAAGCCCAAAATCCCAGACTGTGTGGAGTGAGCTGTCTGGATGAGCACGGGAGCCAGGCTGCAAGGTGACAACTGACTGATATGACGGTCTCACTTTTTCATGCTTGATTCAAAATTCTCAGTTACAACGGAACCTCAGAAGCCTCATATAAAATGTTATTAATTGAGTCGTCAAAGCCTCAAGGATAGCTCTCCCAATTTGAAATGTGATCAACAGCGATTCATTAAGGGTTGACTGAGCAGACACCCCAAATTAGAGAAGGGTGGTGACAATGTTTACTCAACTTGGGTCAACTTATGTTACCTGCAGTTTCTTGGACGGATGGTGTGGGGGCCACTTGCTACAAGGCAGGATTGTGAGTTGTGAGAGAGCAAACAAATCTCTCTCTTGGGTCCTAACATGGCACCATATGGCCAATTTCTAAGCTAATTCATAACCTAAGATAGAAGACAAGCATAAGATTTAATAGGGAATGGAGAGACTGACAGTGAGTATACCTATTAATGATATTAACATGTATATTAATTAATTTGGCTTTTGGGTCATACCCAATAGCACTCGGAGCTTATTTTTGTCTCTCTAACCTAGGGATCATTCCAGGTGGCACTATACGTGGTATAGAGGATAAAGCCTGGGTTGGCCGTGTGCAAGATGAACACCTTACCTGCGGCATTAACTTTACAGCCTTGTAACACTTTAAAGAAATTTACTTATTTGGGGGGTATTGGGGGGCCATATCAAGCTGTGCTTTGGGGTCACTCTTGGCCACGTGGGGAGGACCATATGCAGTGCCAAGGGTCAAACAGAAGTGGGCTGTGCACAAGGAAATGACTTACCCCTGTACTTTATCTCCCCCATCATTTTCCTCTGAGGACTTTTTTTTTCTTTTGGTTAATGTTTTGTTTCTGGCTGTGCTCAGGGTTTGGCTCTTCCCTCGGGGATCACTCCTGTTGGTGCTCGGGGGACCATTGCAGTGGCAGGGATGGAGCCCAGGGTCAGCCACGTGCCAGGCAAGTGCCTTATCCTGTTGACATTTTAAATCAACACCCCTTCCCAGTCCATGCCAGTAACCCCTTGGATTGAAGACCCCATCCTTCTAAGGCTCTGAATTGGCTGTGACACTCAAGTCCCAGAGAACTGACATCCCCAGTGTGCAACACCCGACTCTAGTCTTGGGCATTTGTTATACATTACGGCTGCTCCTCCCCTCCCCGCCCGCCTCACAGGAGAGATCGAGGTGAGTGAGGCCAGGGATGGAGCAGGGCCAACATCAGAGGCTGATAAAAACAGGCCCAGCTGGCACATTCCACTACCCATTGAGAACCCTCTTGGACCACTGTGGGGAGGTTTAAACCAATATTTTTACTGGGTGCCATTGGGCTCCCAGTAGGCCCTCAGGATATTCCAAGGGGGCCACAAGTGAAAAATCACATCAAACAGGGGTGACACAGCACAAGTTTGGAGGGACTGACTAGTAGGACAAGGAGGCCACAGGAAAAAAAAAAACAAGGTAGGAAGGGAGGTACAGGCAGGAAAGGCTGAGAAACACTGGTTTAGACCATTGAAAATGGGGGGACTGACTCAATCAGGGAAGCTGCCTTGGAGTTTCTGGGGCTCTGCCATGCAGAACAGAGATTTTTCCCACTTCTCTTTCCTTCCCAAGGGCATTCTTTCTTGTCTAGAGGGTGAGTGGATGGGACGTACTGACAAGTAACTTTCTGTGTCTTTCTCCAGAGATGTTATGGCATTTGGTATCAAATGTACATCTATGTGTCAGGCTCAGCTCCACTCCTGAAGATCGTGGCCTACGCAATTAAGCATGGGTGAGCTGTAAGGGCCTCTCTCATTTGTTTAAAGCAACATATTGTTACGGTCCCCTAGTCCTTGTGTTAGGTCATTGGTTAGGCTTCAAAGAAAAAGGAAAGAAAGAAAAGGAAGGGGAAAAAACCCACCCAAACAAAAAAACCATGATTAGTTAAGGCACTCACCTATCTCGACATTTAATTGAATGATCCTGTGCTAATGAAAGTCCTAATATAACCGTTCTCAACCACACAGAAGCCAGAGGACAGGCGTGACTCTGAATGGCACATCCAAGCATGCAACTGTGCAATTTCCATTTGCCAGTGCCCTCGTTTCAAAAACAGAAGCATCTGTCTCAGTTCTGTGTCTTTTCATGTGTTTGAAAAGAAACAGAGGATCTTTAATGAATAGAAGCAAGATCCCCATGTTAGGAGACAGAGATCATTGCGCCTCCTAAAGCCACTAACTTGATCAGGCCCATCATTCAGGGCCTAGAATAGAGAACAGTCATCCCAGAAATATCCCAAATAATTCACATATAAATTTGTGTGAATCCCAGACATTAATGCATAAAAAAACACAGAAGCAACCCATTGGGTGAGGGAGGGGTTCCCTCAACTTTCCCCGTTTAATTTAACATTGGAACACTGGGCATTTCATCAGACTTTACAGTGGCTTCATTCCAATGGTTTTACTTTTCTGGATCAGGTATTATTATTCAAACTGGAAATAAACTAGCCAAGTAAGTCAAACACCTAATGTTTTTCTAGACAGCGGTGACTACGGGCTTCAGCTCAACTCCAAAGATATACGGCCTTTGGTTTGGTTTTTAATTTTTAACTCAACTTTCTACCAGGGACCAACTGCAGCATGTGAAGGGGTTAAAAAAAAAAAACCAAAAAAAAAAAAAAAACAAAAAAACGAAAATTGAGTTTTGGGTGGGTGCATCAAGAAGTAGCAATGTTTGTTACCTGCAGAGGTGTTACAAGAAATTTCATCTGCTGCAACGAAGACGAACTGATTTCTGGAAGAGAAGATAAAATTCACAATACTGCTCGCTCAGGGAAGGCTTGTGCTGCTGCCGATTGGCTGAATGTATTCAGAGGAGGGGAGGGAAGGGCATTGCGTGTGGATGGAGGTTGCGAGGAAATGTGTTGATATATCTCAGACTTAGAAGGCTTAGAGATCATGAGACAGGCATGCGGGACCCTTTTCCACACAATCATGGCAATGTCAGAATATGGACCGTGTACAAGCCGTGGCACCCGGGTAGGATCACGATGTGTGACCGACATGTCATGCCAGGAGACAGTGCTCAGACAGGGAGGGTGTGTTCAGACTGTGCTGAGACAGACTTCTCTGCTAGAGGGAGATTACCTTCTTAAACACAGAGAGGCTCTGTCCGAGGCAAAAGAATATACCACCACTAGCTAGGGGAAATCATACAATTCCCAACTCTCTTATTAGAGTACAGTAGAAAAAATATTTTTTTAAGGAAAGAAAAAAAAAAGTCATTTCAGAAGAGAATATTACATAGGGTCTGGAGATGGCTCTTCGTTTCCTTACCACGCTAAAGACTGGCTACCTGAAGTCATAAGAGACTGGCTGACTGAAATCAGCACCGTCTTGCCAAATTGTATTTCAGGGTGCAATATGAAAAATAAAAAAATGGAAAATGCTGTATTGACTTTGACGGTGTAAATCCAGAAAGATGATAAAACTCCCTCAAGATGTTTTTTCCATCAGGAGTGTGTTCTCCATGTCCGTTTCTACCAGTTCAAAGACAACGTGTTGTTATCTGGAGTTGCTGCTCATGTCTCCCCACCTGAGAATGTTGGGTCAGGGGGCTCCTAGGGTCTTGAACACAGACGCTGCCTCTCTATGCTGTGAGGTTGAACTGCACGTGTGAGTTGTGGAGAACTAAGACAAAAGCACATTTTTAGTCTCAGTTTGATTGTTCGAATGTTTCCACGCTTCAAGATGTAGCCAGTGACTCAGCATTTCTCATCTAGCTACCCTCTGGAAATTCATGCTATTTTACCCTAAATCGAAAAGTGCAAGTCCTTTCCACACCAATGACAAGCCAAACAAAATGACTCATGTCCTGAGAAGTCTTTTGTTTTTCTCGCCTCTAAGGGAAGTCAAGGCTAATCTCCTTTACCCCACCCAATCTCTTCCAACAAGTCAAGGGCATGGGTAGGGGCTGTCTCTGTGCCATGAACAAGATGAACGGGGTCCTCAAAATCTGACTTCAGATCTGCAGGATTAGAGGAGAAGGGCAATGAACATTCCCGGAAATGACGAGGTCTGGATTTACTCAATGGATATTAAGACATAGACACTTCAAATGACTGGTATGACCTTTTCTGGTGGTTCAAACGAGCTAAGGGAAGGACATCCTACACTAACAAGGAAAATGATGAGTGACCAAGAAAGGGCAGCTGGCTTGCCCAGAGTCACTCTCTCTGGAGTGAGCATTCCCTTATTTTGGGGTTGTCTCCTCAGGGAGTGTCCTCAATTCTCTTCCCATCCCCCCTTCCTTTTCCTAAGGGACCCACCAGCCTGCTGGATGTGAGGAAAAGTATGGGGGGGCAACTCAGACTGAAGGATTGTGCTGACGAAGTGTCACAAAGCAACTTCCAAGCAAGGCTACAGAGTTGAGCCCCTTCACCAGTTCCCAGATTTTTAAAAAGCAAAAGGTAATCCTTGTGGAACTCTTTTTTGGGAACTGTTAGCATCACTCAGATAAAAAATGCTACCTTTCTCCATGGTCTGCCTTTATTATTAAGCTATATATTTTGAAAAAAAATTTTTTTTAAAGATTTTGGGTCACTCCCAGCTCTGCTCAGGAGTTACTCCTGGCGTGGCACTCAGGAATTCCAAGTGGTGCTTGAAACTTTCAGGTGGTGTTCAAGGGACCCTATGGGATGCCAGGGAACCAACCTGGGTCAGTCACGTGCAAGGTAAACGCCCTATCCACTGTGCTATCTCTCCAGTCCCATATCTTGAATTTTCAATGGAGGGGATCCCGCTTGAAGAGACTCACTTGTCTTTGATATCCATCTTTTAAATAGATCAAGTTACTCTGACTCCCCCAAACACATCTAGAGCAAAGCACAGTGCTTTCACCCAGCACAGCTGACTGAAGAATATGCTATGTGTTCTGTGGCACAGTGAAAAGGAATTATGAGGGAAAAAATCATATAAAAAATAGTAGCCATTTGGTTTGATCACCTCTGCATATATATATATATTTATATTTGCTTTTTGGGTCATACCTGGCAATGCTCAGGGGTTCCTCCTGGCTCATGCACTCAGGAATTACTCCTAGCGGTGCTCGGGGGACCATATGGGATGCTGGGAATCGAACTCGGGTCGGCCATGTTGGCTGCGTGCAAGGCAAACGCCCTACCCGCTGTGCTATCGCTCCAGCCCCACCTCTGCATACCTTTAGTTGTTTTTGGGGGGGGGGGGGGCGGATTGGGTTACACCCAGTGGTGCTCAGGGCTTACACCTGACTGTGCTCAGGGATCACTCCTGGTAAGGCTGGACAGTCCATATGGGGTGCGGGAATAGAGTCCAGGGCAGTCAGATGCAAGGAGCAAGCACCCTACCTGCAATACTGTCTCTCGGCCTTGAGTACTTTGGAATCCACATCAGAAAGCCCTCTGTATTCCAGGGAAAAGACCCCCAAATCTCAGACAAGTCTCTTGTATTCATTCTAGACTAAACCTGCGTGATCACACCCCACTCCACCCCACCCCGAAAGTACCCTTTGAGCAACTGAAGATAACGTGTCACCAGCTAACGGAAATGCCTACCCCAGAGTAGCTGAGAGAAGGAACCCCACATCAGGCCAGCAGGGGGGAAGTGCTGTGGTATTATCTCCTGGACTATGTTACATCATCATTATATATGATTCTGGGCCTCACTTGACTCTACTGTAAATGGTCCCAAAGTGGGTCATCTAGAACCTCGTTGTGAAACCATTTATCCCACTCAACCCAAAGGGTCAGAGGAAGCAGTGAAGTGGCAAGGTAGTGTGCTCTCTCCTACAAGTTCTGGAAAAATCTAAACCACCAGAGAACAGTAGTGTGCTTTACACCAGCGATCTACTGCAGCCAGCCCTGGGGACCAACGCAGGTCTTTAGGGGTTAAAAAAACAAAGGTCGATGACAATTGGTCTGGTTTGTGGGGTCAGCTCCCAAACCAGGAAAGAAACGGGCAGTAGGGCCTTTTCCCTTTAGCCAATCCTTGCCTGCTCTTTGCTCTTCACACCCAGCTAAAGGTAAAGGTAAAGGTAAAGGCCCTCCCGTTGATCGTCGATTTGCTCGAGCGGGCCCAGTAACGTCTCCATTGGAGACTTTGTTGTTACTGTGTCTGGCATATCGAATACTCTCGGTAGCTAAGAATGTAAAACTCCAAAGTAACTGCACTTGATTTTCAGCTAGCTGTTTTGTTCACTGGTTGTAGACTATACGGAAGTCTGGTTGAGTACTTGGCAACCTGGGGTGCACATGGCAAACACCTGGTATGTTTCCATCATTCCTCATGACCAGGTGACCTCCAAGACCAAGCCACGGATGGCAGTCTTTGGAAAGGGTTTCCATAGCTTCCTGGTGATGTAAAGTGGAAGAATCGAACTCTGGTCGGCCATGTTGGCTGCGTGCAAGGCACGCCCTACCGCTGTGCTATCATTCCAGCCCCTCTTGGAGAGCCCAGCAAGCTACTGAGAGTATCTCGCCCACCTGAACGGCAGTGCCTGGCAAGCTCCCCGTGATGTATTCGATATGCCAAACACAGTAACAACAAAGTCTCCAATGGAGACGTTACTGGGCCCACTCGAGCAAATCGATGAGCAACGGGAGGACAGTGATGTAAAGCTATAGTCAAAGGGGGGAAGGCTTCTCCCGCTGAATGTTTTTCATCGTGGCTGCTGCAAAGGGGGAGTTCAAGGGCTCTCCTCCTGTGACTTCGGGCTTCCAGAGTCTAGGCAGGAAACAGGGAGTTGGGGGATGCCAGAATTCTCTATTGTTTGTCTCATACTGAGTGCCGATGGGTTTGGCACAGATGGGGAAGAAAGTGGATTCACAGGATCTCGTGCTCGACCATAATACTGAGGTCCAGGACCACCAAGCTCTGCATGCTGACCCCACGCATCTTGCACCTGCCCATCAACTTCATTCTTGCCCCCGAACGGGCCCAAAGTCACTTTTCCAATTTTCTTTCAGTGGCTTCTCATTCTCTTCACTCTCCTGGTAGAACTTCTGTTCTCTCTGCTTCTCTCAAAAATAACCCAGACTTCTTGGAACCCAAGAACGATTTTTTTTTCAATCTCCCTAGGTTCCAACCAGATGGTGCAGAAGAGAGGCCTGATCATCGGTACATTGAACAAGAACCAGGTCTGAGTGTCAATCAACCCTAGGCAACTCTGTGTGCTCGTGGTTCTAAGTGGCTGGTCCTCTTGGGAGAAGAGAACCATGGTTCTAGATCATTCTGGCCAGGGGAAATCCACAAGCTAATTCTCAAAGCCCACCCTTTCCAAGAAGAACGTTTAGCATGGGGTGGCTGGGTGAGAGAAGGGAAATGCTTACTAACTGAAAAAATAATGACAAAGCCACTCGTATGTGTCTTAACTCTGTACTCCATCTTGGGGTTGCCAAGACCTGTCTTCTTTTGTTCATTCAGTTAATATCCCTACAGTCCTCTGGGCTCTCCCTGCCTTTATAGATGAGGAACCCAAAGCAAAAAAAAAAAAGTGTGTGTGTGTGGGGGGCGGGGAATACCACCAAGCTGAACTGAAGAGAGAGACTGGGGAGAGAGTCAAACTCAACCTCCAGGATGCTGGCTCAGAACCCAACATGCTTTCACTTTGGTTCTACCCAGAAGGATGCACAAAGCAGGTCTTGAGTCTGCAGTGTGTGTGTGTGTGTGTGTGTGTGTGTGTGTCTGTCTGTCTGTCTGTCTGTCTGTGGGGGGTGGGGGTTAGGTCTCTGGAAGAACTTCCTAACCTAGTTCTGAGCC